GCTAAATTCAGGGAAGAGAATTTATTGAATGGGGAGCAAAAAGGCAAAACTAGAGAGTAGGTTGATTGGTCCGGCACGGTGGCTCACGCCTGTAATCCCATGAGGTCAAGAGATGAGACCATCCTGGCTAACACAGTGAAACCCGTCTCTACTAAAAATACAAAACATTAGCCGGGCATGGTGGCGGGCGCCTGTTGTCCCAGCTACTCGGGAGGCTGAGGCAGAAGAATGGCGTGAACTTGGGAGGTGGAACTTGCAGTGAGCTGAGATCGCATCACTGCACTCCAGCCTGGGGGACAGAGCGAGACTCTGCCTCAAAAAAAAAAAAAAAAAAAAAGAGTAGGTAGATCATGTAAGAATACACTTTACAATAGTCTAGACCAGAAAAAATGAGATCCTGAACAGTGGGAAAAGAAAAGCAGACAGATTCAACAAATATTAATAAAATTAGAATGAACTAAACTAGAATGGATTCAGTGGGTGAAATAAGAGAAAAGTAGTGAGATAACTCCAAGATGTCTGGCTTTGTCATCTGAGTGCTGTGGTGCCATTAGTTGAGACAGCAAACACTGAAGGACAGAGAGGATATATAGATACAAAATTACAATTTGGACATGCTGTTCTTGAGGTACCCAAGGAAGATTTCCAGAAGGGAGACACATGTATACATCTGCAGCTCCGCAGCTCCGAGGAGAGATACAGAATTCAGGTCTCAGTGTTACGTGTGTCTCTGCATTAGAATGTTTTTTCTGACACCCATACTCACCCGCTACTGGAATCAGTGGCATTCTACCATCCTTTATAACACTCACCTTACTTGTCATTATTTGCTCAGTATTTATCTTCCTCACTAGAAGGTAAAGAATGTGCCTTGTCTTCTTTACTGATAGTTCCTTTACACAGAGCACAAAGTAGGCACGCAGTAAATATTTACTGGATGGTTGAATGAGTAACAGATTTGAGGGCCATCAGTAGGACTGAAGTCACAGTAAATGACAAGAGGAAGAGAACCAATGATGGCATCATCAAGGGGGAAAGCTGCATTTAAGAGGGCAGAAGAAAAGAAAACGGCAAAGGAAAGGGTCACTCAATAGAGTGAAAGAAGAAAACTAAGTAAGTACTAATTTGTCGTCTCCACAGGGTCAAATGCTTCAGGGAAGCCAAGGAAGAACTTAAAAGAGTCCATAAGACTGAACAAGAGTTGATGTTAAGCTGGGCAAGAAGACTCGGAGGACTGGTGTGGATGGAAAAAAGGAAAGAAAGCTGAAATAATACAGAACAGGGGAAAGTTGACAGCTTTGGTATCTCCAAAAACAAATTAGAAAGGGAAACGGGGAGCGACACCTGAGAAAAGGAAATGCCAGAAAGGGCTAAGACTGTTGCACGCTTAAGTAAGAAAAGGAATGTGGCAGAGATGAGGGCCAACGACATAGTCTGACTCACAGGGGTTTGCAGTCTCCCTAGAGGAAGTGGAGGGGCCTGAATTAGCCACCCCGGGCATGATGCAACACCTCCGACTCTGGGGAGTAGTTGAGTCCAGGCCCCTGATGCTGCCGCGGTCTTCACTTGCTCTCACCCACGAGCCACGGCAGGGGCAGCGGCCCTCTTCTCCGTCGTCACTAGGACGGGGCCCAAGGTCCTCTCTTGCTCTCTCCCAGAAGCTGCAGCAGAAACCTTCCTCTTCACTTTCTCTCTCCCAAACGCCACTGAGGCGGCAGCTGGCGTCTTCACTGCCGCTCACACCGGAGGAGTCGCTGGCTGCGTAGCCGCAGTCTTCACTTACTCCCTCCCAAGAACTACCGAGGCTGTGGCCGCCATCGACACTCCCTCCCTCCCAGGAGCCACTGAGGCGGCGACTGCGATCGTCACTGACTCTATACCCGAAGTCACTAGTTCGCGGGTCCCGGACGTCCCTGACTCCCTCCCAAGTATCACTTAGGCGGAGGCCTCGGTCTTCTCTGGTAGTTCCCCTGGAGTCGGCAGTTTGGTGGCCTCCAACTTCACTAAAATTAACGTCGCTGCTGCAGAAGCTGCGGTCTCCCCTAACTCTCTCCCAAGAGCTTCTGTGACTGCAGCCACTATCCCCCCTAACTCTCTCCCCAGAGACGCTGCGGCAGTGGCCGAGGTTTTCACTGACCCTTCTCAAGTCACTGCGGGACAAGCCGGCGTCTCCACTTAGGCTTCCCGCAGCGACCCTGGAGCGGCGGTCGCCCTCTTCACGTTTTCTTTCCCCGTCGTCGCTAACTCTTTCCCTTGACTCGGCGCTGGAATGGCCGTGTAGGCCGTTTATCCTCCACACGTGGTGGCTAGTGCGGCGGCCGCCGTCTTCGTCTGCTACTCCCTGAGAGTCGCTGTGGCGGCGGCCGCCTTCGGCTGGTACTTTCTCGGAGCTGCTTTCCAGCCTCCCGACTCCAGTCACTTGGCTGCAGAGGCAGCAAGGCCGTCGCCTTGGAAACGAGTACACTTCCGACGTGCTGAGGTCATTTCCCGTTCCTCACGGCTCACGCCATTTCCGGTTTCCTTTCCCTCAGCTGTTTCTTGGCTTTTCGTCTGGACGAATCGGGTGGTGGTGTGAACTGGTTTTCGGTAAAATTCGGCTCGGCCTCTCAGGAGCCTATCTAGGTCCGTCTCTGGAGTGGCCTGTCATCGATCGCGCCCTCCATCGCTGAGCGACACAAGTGGAACCTCCCAGGACTGCATTCTGCGTAGGTGACCTGTGTGGCGCGGACCGGGCGGGGCCTTTTTGTCCTTGAGCAAACCTAGTATACTTTCTCAGTGGTGGTTGGAAGGAAATTTGTTACCCTGTCATTTCGCAAGTATGGAAAAAGACCTAAAGGAGAATTTAGCGGCTGCAGCCGCTGTTTTTATTGAGTACTTTACTAGCGCCAACTCTTAAATAATCGCTTGTTAGATGTTACCCCTATTTTATAGGTCAAGAGACTCAATATGTCGGTACGTTGGTAAGGCCAGGCAGCAGGTAAGTTGTAAAACCAGTATAAAAACACAGGTCATTAGTCAAAAGACTGCTTCAGGTCTCCTGGCTCCAAATCCGAGGTTCCTTTCACTGTAGCATGTTTACTGCTCAAATATTTCTCTACAACCCTATTGCTTAACAACAGGAATGAATTGTTTCATCATTTGTTGGAAACATATGGGTCACGTTTTGTACCAGCAGCAGAAAATACAGAAATTAGTAAGAATTCTCTGCCCACCACAGGCATCACCAACCCAGATTCCCCTCTCGGCCCAGTTTTTCCACCCTTATTGCCTTCTCCCTTCTGGAATAACGAACTGGTCCTAGAAGCATACCATACTTTTTAATATCTCTGTGCCTTGTCATGTGCTGTTCGTCTTACCAGGAAACTACCCTGCCTTTCCCCCAGTTTTTGTCTGTGAACACATTTGGGGAATTCTCCTGATCCTACCTCTACTCTCTTGAGGTACAGTAAATTGTCTTTGACTTCCATCACCTTTTGTAATATTACTAATTGCCATTTATTGAGTTCCTATGATCTGCCTGGTACTGATCTAAGTGCTTTATATTAGTTTTCTTGTTCATTTTTTTATACCAACATAAATGAGTTTGACTCAATTCTTATTATAACCTGCCAAAATAAGTATTCCTCTTCCTTTTTACAGAGAGAGAAACAAGGAACAAAAAAGTTAATTGCCTGAGGATACACTGCTAGTGTTGCGGGACAAATGAGAGACGGGAGAGGCCGAACAGAGTTCAGGAGAGCTCTTTATTATTAAGGTGATCACTGGCTCAGTCGGACTAGGGTCCAGAAAGACTGAGTCCGGAACAAAGGGATCAGTTACCTTTTAAGCAGTTTGTGGCGGGAGTTTCGTGCTGCAGGAAGCCTGCTTGCAGAAGCAAGAACAAAGGCAGATAATTACTCTTTTACATTTGTTACAGCACATGTCTTATATCCTTGGGAATACATGCTTTTGTAGTAATTGCTTATCAACCTTGTGACTTTACAGCCGCGCTGGGGAGGGAAGCAAGACCTCGCCGTGCCTCAAGGAATGTGAAACCATGGAACACAGATAAGCCTCTCCGTGCATAGAGGAGAAATAAGCAGTTAATATTCTTTCCTAACCCAGGCCTCCAGACCAGGGGGCTATATTACATTCTACCTCTAAGGAAAAAAATTAACTTCTTGAGTAACATACTTATAAAATTCATTAATTCCCCCTTCAGTAGTAAGTATTAAATACCTGACTTAGGATTCCAACATAGGTCTTGGATTTTGCTGCAGGAGCTCCTCAAAGTCTCTGAATTCCCACAACCTTTTATTAGATCACTTATCCCGTTGTATTATAATTATCTGTTTAACAATTTTTCCTCAACCCTCAAGGACCCTGAGCTTCCGGAAGGTAGGGATTGTATCTTAAAATCTTGGCATTTCTGACATCTAGAATATTTCATTTAAGAGAAGGGCTTAGTCACTGTTGTGTGGATGAGTGGGTGGGTTGATCAGTTGACTGTCAGGCAGGTGAACTAATAGGCTGAAGATAAAGTTTTTCACTGTTGGAAGTGAATTTGGGATTAGTTGTCCTAATCCCCTCACTTTTAGAAATAGGGCAACTGGGTCGGGCACGGTGGCCTGTAATTCTAGCACTTTGGGAAGCCAAGGCGGGCGGATCACCTGAAGTCAGGGATTTGAGACCAGCCTAGCCAACATGGTGAAACTACTAAAAATACAAAAATTAGCCAGTCGTGGTAGAAGGAGCCTGTAATCCCAGCTGCTAGGGAGGCTGAAGCAGGAGAATCACTTGAACCTGAGAGGGGGAGGTTGTGGTGAGCTGAGATCGCACAATTGCCCTCCAGCCTGGGTGACAAGAGCAAAACTCTGCCTCAAAGGAAAAAACAAAACAAGAAATGGGTCAGCTGAGGCCTTTTGCATACCAGGCATTTATCGAGTTACTCATGTGGGCCAGTTTCTGTGATAAATGATTTGCAAATAATACCCAACCTAATGTGTATTGTTATTTTTATTTTTACAGATGAAGAAACAACTCAGATTTGACCAAGATCACACAAGTAGGAGTTGAGGAATTGGAACCCACTATGACTTCAAATTAATAGTGTTTATAGCCACTTACATAGTAATGGTAAAGGTTTTATTTTTGTCACTATACAATATGTAGTAGATAAATTTACTGAGGAAATGAGACAGCATGTCACAAATCCTTAAAGGATACACACATAACAGGAAGGATTAGAAGAGGAAACAGAAACAGGTAACAGAGAAGCAGAAAAAGTAAAATCTCCCAAAATAAAAGTAGAAGGAATTAAAAATAAAAGCAGAGTCCAGGTGCAGTGGCTCACACCCAGCACTTTGAGAGGCTGAGGCAGGTGAATCACTTGAGGTCAGGAGTTCGAGACCAGCCTCACCAACATGGTGAAACTCCATTTCTACTAGAAATAAAAAAATTAGCCGGGTGTGGTGGCGTGCACCTGTAATTCCGGTTACTTGGGAGGCTAAGGCAGGAGAATTACTTGAACCCAAGAGGCAGAGGTTGCAGTGAGCCAAGATTGTGCCATTGCACTCCAGTCTGGGTGACAGAGCAAGACTCCGTCTCAAAAATAATAAAAGCAGAAGTTAATGAAATAGAAAATAAAATTGATGATAGTAATTAACTGGTGTGTGAAAAGAACAATAAATAGACACTCAACAAATCTGAGGAAGAAAAGGAAAGAAAATGATATTGGAAACAAAGGAGCCCATGGAGGGAGGATGACTTGAGCCCAGGAGGTTGAGGCTACAGTGAGCCATGATTGCACCACTGCACTCCAGCCTGGTCAGCAGAGCTAGACACTGTCTCAGAAAAAAAAGAAACAGGCCGGGCATGGTGGCTCATGCCTGTAATCCCAGCACTTTGGGAGACCAAGGCAGACAGATCATGAGGTCAAGAGATCGAGACCATCCTGCCCAACATGGTGAAACCCCATCTCTACTAAAAATACAAAAATTAGCTGGGGTGGTGGCAGGCACCTGTAGTCCCAGTTACTCTGGAGGCTGAGGCAGGAGAATCGCTTCAACCCAGGAGGCGGAGGTTGCAGTAAGCTGAGATCGCGCCACTGCACTCCAGCTTGGCAACAGAGCGAGAATCCGTCTCAAAAAAAAAAAGTAAGGGCAAAGGACATAGTACAGATATGAAGGAGACTTTGAAAATCAGAAGCAAATTATTTTGTGTAACATACACATTGAGCACCACTTACCCAAAATGCTTAGGACCAGAGTGTTCCAGATTTTGGATTTTGGAATGTTTGCATATACATAATGAGATGTCTCGGGTATGAGACCCAAGACAAAACATGAAATTCATTTGTTTTATGTACACCTTATACACAAAGCCTGAAGGTAATTTTATACAGCATTTTAAATAATCTGGTACATAAAGTTTATGTTAAGTATTTATGTGTGGAATTTTCTACTTGTTGCATCATGGCAGTGCTCAAAAAGTTTCAGACTTTGGAGCATTTAGGAATTTGGATTTTCAGATTAAGAATGTTCAGCCTTTACTAATCTTGAAAATTCGGCTGGGCGTGGTGGCTCACGCCTATAATCCCAGCATTTTGGGAGGCTGAGGTGGGTGGATCACTTGAGGTCAGGAGTTGGAGACCTGCCTGGCCAACATGGTGAAA